CCCTAATTGATGATGATGAGGCTGATCGCACTTGGCAGCCTCGTCGTCATCAGGCTATTGCTTCCGCATCATCAGGAGAAGAGGGTGCCAGCTTGGCAGCGAGCAAAACAGTCGGTGGGTTGCCCAGGAGGCAGCAGGGTCGCAGCAGTGTCAGTGGAGGCAAACGGCCACGGAGTAGAGCACCAGCTCCACTGCAGCCTACCACCACGGCCAGTAGTGGTGCCGGTGTGCACGGGAGGAAGTAGCAGTCAGCCAGTGAGGAGTAGCGGGGGCAAAGTTTCCTACTCGGCGGTGTGGCAATTTTTCGTCAAGCCGCCCGAGGAAGTAAACGTAGCCGTATGTCGACTATGTGGCCAGAAAGTCAAGCGTGGCCAGGGGGCCCATGTTGGGACTACAGCGTTGCGTCAGCATATGCAGCGTCGCCATTCGGTGGCCTGGGAAAACCGTGATAAAGATACGGCGGTTCTGCCTGCCCCAGCCCCCGCTCCATCACCCGCTCCGTTACTTGCTCCGTCACCCGACGTCAATCGCCCTCTATCAGCCAGTCAAGGCTCCAACACCTCTGCTGAGGGGAGTTGTCGCTCGTTGGCATCTTCCGCTCGTTCAGATGCTCCTTCTCCTGCTACTCCTCTTCACGGATTCCGTCAGCAGTCTTTCTTGGAATCCGTTTCCAAGAGACAACAGTTTGCGAGCACGCACCCGACGGTGCAGAAGCTGAACGTCCTCCTGTCCAAGTTGCTGGTGCTGCAGTCCCTCCCTTTCCAAGTGGTGGACTCAGCACCTTTCCGAGAAATGATGGCTTGTGCCGAGCCGCGGTGGAGAGTGCCAAGCCGGCATTTCTTCGCCAAAAAGGCAGTGCCAGCCCTGCATTCACATGTAGAAGAGATGGTGGGCCAGTCTTTGAGCATGTCGGTCTCTGCCAAAGTGCACGGCAGCGCCGACGTGTGGAGCTGTAACTACGGTCAGGGACAGTACATGTCATTTACGGCCCACTGGGTGAACGTGGTGCCGGCACAGCCGCACCAGCAACTTGGACAGGTCACGCCGCTTTTGCCTCCACGTTTGCACGTCCTTGGTCCAGCAAAGATGTCCGCCTCTACCACCTCTTCTTCCGCCGTGTCCTCAGCCGCCACCCCCGTGCCAAGTCCCATTACCCGACCGGCATATCACATGTGCAGGGCGCAACGGTGTCACGCTGTGCTGCACCTGGTATGCCTTGGCGAACGTAGTCACACAGGGGAGGAACTTCTGAGTGTAATGAACAGAGAAATCGACAGATGGCTGTCTCCGCGCAAACTGAAAATCGGAACCATGTTGACCGACAACGGAAAGAACATGGTGTCTGCTCTGCGTCAAGGAAGGTTGTGCCATGCGCCATGCATGGCTCACGTGTTCAATCTGGTTGTCAAGCGTTCCTAAAATCCACCATCCCACTGCAAGACATCCTTAAAATGTCACGTAAACTTTGCATGCATTTCAGCCATTCCTACACCGCAAAGCACACCCTCCTTGAGCTGCAGCGGCAGAACGGAATTCCACAGCATCGCCTGATCTGCGACGTTGCAACAAGGTGGAATTCAACCCTACATATGTTAGACCGCCTTTACGAACAGCGAAAGGCCATCACCGATTTCCTGATGTTACAAGCGGATAAAGGTACTCCCCTGTGTAACTTAGATGTCAGCCATTGGCAGCTCATGCGTGACACCTGCCGCTTGCTCAGGCCCTTTGAGGAGGCCACGCTATTCGTGAGTCGGCAGGACTATGGGATGAACGACGTCATTCCTCTGTTGCACGTCCTGGAACAAATGCTGTTAACAATGGCTGGTCAGGGTGCGGTAGACGTGGCGCACAGATCTCAACGCCACATGACCCCTGTGGGGGCAGGACAGGAAGAAGAGGAGGAGGTAGAGGAGGACATTGGTGCTCAGGAATTATTGAGTGAAATGGGTGGTTTTTCCACTCAGCGGACAGGAGTGGAGGAGCAGGAGCATCTGGTAGAGGAGGAGGAGGAGACAGAGGACCCAGACGCACCGTGGCAGTATGCTGTGGAGATGGAGGCAGGGAGTCCCTCGCATTCCTTGGCACAAATGGCCCATAGCATGCTCGTTGCTTGCGTAGCGACAGCCGAATAATAACCATCAGACAGAGGGATGACTTTTGGCTGTCCACCTTGTTGGACCCTCGCTACCGTTCAAAAATGGTGGCCTTTTTCACACCTGCTGAGAGGGAGGCCAAAATAACGTACTATAAAAACCACCTATGTAGTCAGTTGGTCTCTGCCTTTCTGCGCCAACGTCCATCCTCAGACACTGTGGGCCCTGTGCGCTCGCGTTCCGCTGCCATGGCAGCAGGGGAGGGGTGGGGTGGTAGGAGCAGTGGCAGCTCCACCAGCAGCGGCTGCCTCAGTCTGCAGTCGATGATGAGTAGCTTTCTTCACCAGCGCAGTGAGGAAACTACTAACCAGCCGCAGCAGCAGCAGCATCAGGTGGACCTGGAGCAGGACCTCAAACAACAGGCTTGGGCCTACTTGGACAGCACCCTGCCAACCGAGGTAGACAATCCCCTTGACTACTGGGCAACGAAACTTGACCTTTGGCCCCAACTAGCTGAATTTGCCCCTTGAAAGGCTGTCATGCCCGGCCAGTAGCGTGGCATCGGAGCGCGTGTTTTAGTGCGGCAGGAGGTATTGTAACTCCGCGGAGGACACGACTGTCCACCCAAAAGTGTGGAGAGACTCACGTTTGTGAAAATGAATCAGGCGTGGATTAGTCTGGATTTCAAACCACCAGTTCCTGACACAACTGACTAAATCCGCCATGAATCATGCCCCAAACATGTTATTATTTTTAACATAGGCCTCTGTATGGCCTTCAATTTAAGCTGCTTACGCTTCGCCACTCTGCCATGGGCCCCTGTACCGCCTCCTCTTGCTGCTGCTGCCAGGTCCAGAGTGTGTCATGGGTCCCTGTACGGCCTCCCATTGCTGCTGTCTCCATCGCCACACTCTGCCATGTGCCACTTTCAGGTCTCCTCACACTGCTGGTGGGTTCCATTTTGTCATAGGGTGCTGGCAGATTACGGGCCTCCCATTGCTGCTGCCAGGCCCGTAATCTGCCATGGGCCCCCGTACCGACTCCTCATGCTGCTGCCAGGCCCGTAATCTGTCATGGGCCCCTGTACCGCCTCCTCATGCTGCTGCCAGGTCCAGAGTGTGTCATGGGTCCCTGTACGGCCCTCCCATTGCTGCTGTCTCCATCGCCACACTCTCCATGTGCCACTTTCAGGTCTCCTCACACTGCTGGTGGGTTCCATTTTGTCATAGGGTGCTGGCAAGATTACGGGCCTCCCATTGCTGCTGCCAGGCCCTGTAATCTGCCATGGGCCCCCCGTACCGACTCCTCATGCTGCTGCCAGGCCCGTAATCTGTCATGGGCCCCTGTACCCGCCTCCTCATGCTGCTGCCAGCCAGGTCCAGAGTGTGTCATGGGTCCCTGTACGGCCTCCCATTGCTGCTGTCTCCATCGCCACACTCTGCCATGTGCCACTTTCAGGTCTCCTCACACTGCTGGTGGGTTCCATTTTGTCATAGGGTGCTGGCAGATTACGGGCCTCCCATTGCTGCTGCCAGGCCCGTAATCTGCCATGGGCCCCCGTACCGATTCCTCATGCTGCTGCCAGGCCCGTAATCTGTCATGGGCCCCTGTACCGCCTCCTCATGCTGCTGCCAGGTCCAGAGTGTGTCATGGGTCCCTGTACGGCCTCCCATTGCTGCTGCTGTCTCCATCGCCACACTCTGCCATGTGCCACTTTCAGGTCTCCTCACACTGCTGGTGGGTTCCATTTTGTCATAGGGTGCTGGCAGATTACGGGCCTCCCATTGCTGCTGCCAGGCCCGTAATCTGCCATGGGCCCCCGTACCGACTCCTCATGCTGCTGCCAGGCCCGTAATCTGTCATGGGCCCCTGTACCGCCTCCTCCTCATGCTGCTGCCAGGTCCAGAGTGTGTCATGGGTCCCTGTACGGCCCTCCCATTGCTGCTGTCTCCATCGCCACACTCTGCCATGTGCCACTTTCAGGTCTCCTCACACTGCTGGTGGGTTCCATTTTGTCATAGGGTGCTGGCAGATTACGGGCCTCCCATTGCTGCTGCCAGGCCCGTAATCTGCCATGGGCCCCCGTACCGACTCCTCATGCTGCTGCCAGGCCCGTAATCTGTCATGGGCCCCTGTACCGCCTCCTCATGCTGCTGCCAGGTCCAGAGTGTGTCATGGGTCCCTGTACGGCCTCCCATTGCTGCTGTCTGTCTCCATCGCCACACTCTGCCATGTGCCACTTTCAGGTCTCCTCACACTGCTGGTGGGTTCCATTTTGTCATAGGGTGCTGGCAGATTACGGGCTCCCATTGCTGCTGCCAGGCCCGTAATCTGCCATGGGCCCCCGTACCGACTCCTCATGCTGCTGCCAGGCCCGTAATCTGTCATGGGCCCCTGTACCGCCTCCTCATGCTGCTGCCAGGTCCAGAGTGTGTCATGGGTCCCTGTACGGCCTCCCATTGCTGCTGTCTCCATCGCCACACTCTGCCATGTGCCACTTTCAGGTCTCCTCACACTGCTGGTGGGTTCCATTTTGTCATAGGGTGCTGGCAGATTACGGGCCTCCCATTGCTGCTGCCAGGCCCGTAATCTGCCATGGGCCCCCGTACCGACTCCTCATGCTGCTGCCAGGCCCGTAATCTGTCATGGGCCCCTGTACCGCCTCCTCATGCTGCTGCCAGGTCCAGAGTGTGTCATGGGTCCCTGTACGGCCTCCCATTGCTGCTGTCTCCATCGCCACTCTGCCATGTGCCACTTTCAGGTCTCCTCACACTGCTGGTGGGTTCCCATTTTGTCATAGGGTGCTGGCAGATTACGGGCCTGCCCATTGCTGCTGCCAGGCCCGTAATCTGCCATGGGCCCCCGTACCGACTCCTCATGCTGCTGCCAGGCCCGTAATCTGTCATGGGCCCCTGTACCGCCTCCTCATGCTGCTGCCAGGTCCAGAGTGTGTCATGGGTCCCTGTACGGCCTCCCATTGCTGCTGTCTCCATCGCCACACTCTGCCATGTGCCACTTTCAGGTCTCCTCACACTGCTGGTGGGTTCCATTTTGTCATAGGGTGCTGGCAGATTACGGGCCTCCCATTGCTGCTGCCAGGCCCGTAATCTGCCATGGGCCCCCGTACCGACTCCTCATGCTGCTGCCAGGCCCGTAATCTGTCATGGGCCCCTGTACCGCCTCCTCATGCTGCTGCCAGGTCCAGAGTGTGTCATGGGTCCCTGTACGGCCTCCCATTGCTGCTGTCTCCATCGCCACACTCTGCCATGTGCCACTTTCAGGTCTCCTCACACTGCTGGTGGGTTCCATTTTGTCATAGGGTGCTGTATGGCCTCCCATTGCTGCTGCCTCCACCGCCACACTGTGGCTCCACACTCTGGTTTTGGCCCCGTGACTGCCCAAATGAGTGAAGTGTGCGGTGATTCTAAGATCGACTGACTGACAGTATTATTTCTCTTCCCCAGCAGACTCCAAGGGCATTTAAATTAAAGGTACAGTGTTCTGCACTAATATAAAGGCTCTCTGAAGCCTAGAAACACCCTTTTTATAAGTTAAATTCGCAGCGAATATATTCGACTCGAATCGAATTTATTCCGCGAATTCGCCGAATCAGCCGAATCGAATTTTTGAATAATTCGCTCATCTCTAATTTTCTCAATACAGTGGACTTGTAATAATTCTTTTTTTAAAGTACAAATATTAGTTATAGATATATAGCTCCGATTAGCAGGGGAACCACTGCTTAACTTCCAAACTTCATCAGTCACAGACTGTAGCCCATATTACATGCTGTTTTGCAATGGCCACTAATAACTTTAATGACAACTGTTGAACCAAGAATTTGCCTACTACTGATACCATTGTCTTGCCAGACAAACACTTTTGCCTAGGTCTCCTAATAGATAATAAAGCAATTCTCTCTATTCATTTCTACTCATTTCTGAGTGTTGACAATCCAGTAGTGGTCACCACACGCAGGTCAATCGGAAAAATAGCCTGGGGGTTCTTCTGAACAGTAAGCTTGTATGGGCCAAGGGATACAGGCACTCATGGATCTCAAAGTGTAGAGCTTATCAAAGTTTCCAGGGATGATGATCTATGACTTGTCAAAAACAGTATGGCCTATGCAGACATTTGCATGGTTACCCAATATCCTGAGAAAATTGATGGACTAGGCTTGATTTTCCTGGTGAATTGTTACTATACTACTACGCTATTAGACATTTTAATGGTTCTATCTGCTAACAAGTACATTACAGATCGCATTTGTCACAAGCTGTTACATTACGTCTGCACGCTGCAGCTGTGAAAATAGGCTTTAAGCAATAGCAGTTACACTACAAATGACATTTTCATATGGACACTATCTGTAAATTCAATTACAAATTGTAAACTGAGAAATAATTCCTTGCCAGAAAGTAATAATAGAATATTAGACGTTAATAGTTACTTTTTTCTTTGGACATCTAGTGGCTCATAATCAGTACAATACCATTTTCCAGAGGAATAAGTTTCACTTTTATTTCAAGGCTTTCACAGCCATTTGTTGTACAACTCCCAGCCTTCATACTGGTTTCATATTGAAAGTATATGTATAGCCAAAATATTTTCTATTTTTTGTTTTAGGCAGGGTGGAGAAGGGTTAAAAGGGATTTCAGTGGGTTTTGTTGGGGTTTTTTTGCTGTCGTTGTCCAACTGGGACATTTCACTTTACTTCTCGTTCAAAATATGAAACAGGAAATGAGGGGAGATTTCTCCATTTGAAGATGTTCCTCATTCCTTGTGCTTTGCTTACAAGTCAAAATTTTTGGATTTCCTTTTATTTTTTGTCTCTGTTTCTGGAAGACCCTTCCCTTCTTTATCCAAAACTAAAAAACTATGCAAAAAATGCCTTTATGTACACTTTATCCCCTGTAGTAGCTTTGAAGCCACATCCTCTCTACACACATTCCAGCAAAGACTGTGTGGCATTGAGGAGGACTTCTTGACAGTGAAAACAGTGGACCATGTCCACATAAAGTATATTAAAAGGCCACTTGTAGTTTCCACCAGAAGCCCATGAAACCGGTGAATTGGGAGACAGGTACAGAATGTTGTCACCCTATACAGTATAATGAAGTGTCTGAACAAGGATCTTCATGGCAGGATCCCCAACTATTACTTTAATGTAAGCTGATGATTTACAAATATTGAAAATTACTTTTGAAATTACATTAGTATGGTAACGCTTATATGAGATTTTAATGATTGGGTTTACCAATGCTTTAATTTTAGGAGCTTTAATTTTCCAAAAGAACAAGTGAAATCAGAGCTATTTATTTAGTTCTGGAATACGGTGATGAGAAGGGATGAGCAAACTGGACAATGTTTGCTTAGCAAGAGGTTTGGCCAATCTTTCAAAATGTCCTCTAAACCCAAACATAACGCCAAACCCAGCTATGGGAGCCCAATCTTGTTATTTCTTCTGGTCTTTTTACTACTTGTTCATGTAGGCCTGGCGGATATCTTGGGCCCCTTTACTCTAAAAGGGGCCTCCAAATTCTGATAAGCCATCCCTTTTGGGGAACAAGATCACCATGTAGACAAAGTGTCTTATGAAGGGAGGAAGGCTTTGGGAGGAAGGTACCCTCCCAATGTTAAGGGCTTATGGTTTGGTATGGTTTATGGAGGGCATACTCACTGCTCCATCGGTTCCTGATCACCCAGGCTTTATACCTGGATAAGGTTTTTTTTTAAATGAATCTTAAAGGGGGCCCTACTCTATTTTTTATTCACTGAAAAAGTGTACTGTCCCTTTAAGAAAAAAAGCTCACTCAGGATGCCGACTGACCTTTTTACCTATGGAAGCTGGTGGGGGATCAGTAATTTGCAGTGGTAGCAGCAGGGCAACATTGTTGTTCATCATGGTCATCTTGGCAGTGCTCATTGTGATTGTCTAGAATCTACATCGCTGGACAACATAATTGAAGTGGAATTACATTCTAGGAATTTTTTTTTTTCTTCACACTGTGGTTAATTTAATTTGCTTTTTCTTTGTTTTGTTTGTGAATAAGTATCAAGGGGTAATATATATTCTGTACTCTGTACTTATTCACATATTGATGTAGGAGTATTCCGTATATCTTGAAGCCCCCTTATTCTAAAAGGACTTTCAGATCACTAACAGTTACCCCCACAGACCCTCAATATCCCTTTGGGGGACAGGATGTGGGGAAAAGACACTTGTTCTCTCAACGTGGGGAGAAGGTGCTTTTCAAGGAGGGGGAGGATTTGCCACTCCCCTTGCAATGTATCCTCCCAATGTTGAAAGCATGTGGCCTGGTATGGTTCAGTAGCACACGCTTACTGTCTTCCCTCTCCTGACCAGTTAGGCAGCATGCCTGGAAAAGGGTGTTTAATGAATTTTTAGGAGTACCCTAAACATTCTTTACTCCTATTCTAAGCCATACCAGACCACATGCCTTCATGTGGATTTATAAGAACCTGTAAACCCGTTTAAAACAAGAAGACCCACAGATATCTGTCCCCCCCATGAATGAGTAAAAAAAAATTTAAAAATGAAATAAAAAACAACACCATGAAAAAAAGTCTGTTACAGAAAAAAAAAATGTCCTACATTATAAATCCAACGTCAATCACATCATCTAGCTAGATCCTTGTCAATCACGTTGACCCACTGGTACAACAACCAGGGGGTTATTTACAATAGCTGGAAAACGCAAAATCAGGTGAACTTTGGCATGAAACCAATCAGCTTCCACGTTTTACTGCCAAAGCTTAATTGAATAAGCTGAGGTTAGGAGCTGATTGGCTACCAGATTCTGAGTGCACCGGTTTTAGTTTATATCCCCTATAGAGAGGATTTCCACATGGTACACATAAATTAATTGTTACACCCTTGAGCAGCAAAAATAAAGATCTGTAAAATGAAAATTAAACAATTTTTTTTTTTTCTGTTCTACCTAGGTACATAAGTCAACTGCGCAAAAGGGAAATACACAAATATAAAGGATATACATAAATAACTAAAATTATTTACATGACTATCAACTACAGTGGGGACCATTGCCTTGGAGTCAAGTACTTTCATGAATTTAATTCAAGCTCAATTTAATTTGCATTTTTTGTCAGTTTCAGAGGACTGTTTTAGACTACGTGTTCAAGTTTCTCCTTTAATTCACAACTGCTCGTTAGATAATCATGTTCAATGCTTCATTTAATTTAGACAATTTTGTCTCACTCCTGCTATTAAATCAGTGAAATGACAGGTTTGTGACAGTGTAAAACACCACAAGAGATGCTTCAGAATATTTAAAAATCATTAGATAAACAAACTAACCGGAACAGTCGAGTCAATTACAAAAGTCTACTCAATGGTTTTTACCATATTAGAGTTATACAACTCCAGAAACCCACTGCAGAATGCAAACCCAATAACTTTTTTTTCTGAGCAGCAAACAGATTTTGCTATTAAATGCATTTATAGATGTAGTGACATCATCGAGAATTCTAGATTTTATTCTTCTCTCCAAATTTTGCAAAGAGGTCTACAGAAAAAGTTGCCAATTTTTTCTCCGTTGACTGAACGAGATTCCAACACACCTAGGTGTCACCCTGAAACAATGGGTGACAGAATGGCTTATAAAACTGTGAACAGCCTGCTACACATAAAGTGTGTTTTATAGAGCAGGTGTGCCTACGTTTATCGATATTTTAAAGCAATGAGATCATGGCCATCATAAAATAAAAAAGGGGGAAAATCCATTAATTAAAAATGTGATAAGCTAAATAAAACCAAATGGGGTCTTTAATAAATCTACATGGCATTTTTGCATTGTCGTATTTATATCCATTGTCAGAGTGTTCCAAAAGGTGGAAGAACGATTTAGGAACAGGATTTATTTGAAGACTGTATAAAAACTATATTCCGGATTTAAATAAAAAATAAAACATTTATGCATAGAGATCAAATTAATAAGCTAGAAAGAGCCAAAAGTGTTTTTTGCTCCTATTAGGACATGAATGGGAAAAATTATGAATAGGAAATCCTGCTTGAGGTTTTATTGCCGATTTCCTTAAGGGAAGATGGCATTGTTTGCCTCTACAATGAATAGGGAAAAGGGTGTAAAGTAAGACAAGGCGTGTGACACACATTCTTCAAAGCAAGAAGCAAGACGTGAATTGTGTGTTTTTAACTTCTTCCATAGAAATCTCAGGCTATTTATAAGTATGGCAGCGTACAAGATATGTTTTGCGTATCCTCAAAAGGGCTCTTGGCATAATGTTGTTTTGATTAAGTGAGATATCTCAGAAAAAAAAAAGTCTTGTTTTTTTCCAGACCTGCCAGTGTTTTGTGGCTGGGCAGCCTTTGCAATGCCTTAATAAACAATTGCTACAGAAATTCTTGTGCAAGTCTAAACTACACATAAAAAAAGCAACAAG